TTTTTTTAAAATCAGCGTTCATGCTACCGGGACACATACAAACAAAACAGATCTTATCGAAATTTTATTATTATAATATTAGTTGAAGTATGATCAAATAGCATAGAAAAATAGAGCATTCTTTCCTATATCACTACATCAAAAACGAAAATTTCCTTGAACTTACTATAAGGAAATAAGATAGTGACGACGCTACTTTTGGATTGCCCTAAGTATATCCATCGTCGATTAACCTCAATTAGAAATTATGGTATTACTGATAATTTAGTCTTGATATTTCCTTTCCAACAGTAGAAATTTAATAGAAATCGATCTTTAATTTCGGAATAACATTTTCATACACTTTTGCTCGTTAACGTTTTTGTTCTCTTTTGCTTTTGCATGTTATAAGAGTGTGTATTTTTCATTGTTTGACAATTATTGTCTGTATAATAGAGCATCTGGCTAATTTATATGTAACAGCATGATGAATGCAATTTTTGATTTCATGTTATAAATAAAAAGCTTACATATATTTATTTCTGTTTTGTTTACTTTAGGTCAATTCTCATTTACAGACAAGTTGGAAAATTGTCTTGTTTATGTCATGTCATGAAGGCAATAATGAAGTATTGAAAAGTGTAAGTTTATTTAAAAGTTTATGCTAAAAAAATTAATTTTTGATATGATGTAACTACAGTTTATCATGATAAAATATGTTTTCCATTACAGGGTGATATTGTTCGTTTATATCATGCTGAACAAGAAAAATTTCTAACCTGTGATAATTATAAAAAAAAGTCTGTTGTTTTTCTTCGTGCAACGGGTCGTGCATCGGCCACATCGGCCACATCTTCAAATGCTTTGTGGGAAGTTGAAGTTGTGCAACAAGATCCATGTCGAGGTGGAATTGGTCACTGGTCATCGTTATTTCGTTTTAAACATTTGGCTACAATGCAGTATTTAGCTGCCGAAGTTGATAATGATCAAACATTTGATCCAACAAGACAAAAACTTAGAGGACCATCAGGAACACCTGTATTTGCTCTTGTACCCATTCCACATGGCTACGATATTTCTTCCATATTTGAATTGGATCCCACAACGATTACGCGTAATGAAGAAGCTGTTCCATGGAGTTCTTATGTTAGATTACAGCATATATGCACAAATACCTGGGTACATAGTACAAATATTAAAATAGATCCAGATGATGATAATGTTCGATTTAAAGTAAGACCAATAAAAATAGAATAAAAATTTCAATTATCTGTTGATTTATTTATTTAGATTGGTTGTGCACAAACAAAAGAAGATAAAGAAGCATTCCAAATTATACATGTATCACCTAACGAAGTTAGAGATCTTGATTTTGCTAACGATGCTGGACAACATTTTGATATGACAGTATCTAAATGGGAAAAAATAGGAGCAATCAATATACATCCCAACGAAAGAAAGTACTTATAAGAAAATCCAATCATACTACTTTTGAAATTGATTGATGATATAAATTGTGTATTCAATGTCTAACGAGGGAACCGCCCCAACTGTCTCGCGAGTTAGGACTCCGCATTAACACTGGAAGTAGATCTCGATGAGACTAGGAAAAGACTAAAAAGGTTCGGGTCAATGGTCTATTGGTCAAAAGTTATGGCCGTTTTACTGAATTTTCGACCCCCACAGCCAGATATTTTCGAAAGAATCGAAGTAAAGAATTTCAACCTGAAACTGTGCCCGTACATAGACCTAATTGTCATTAGAATATCCTAAAAGTTTCAACAGAAACGAATGTGTCTTTGTCGAAATATTGAATTTACAAAAAATAGTCACTTGCAACACGGAGGATGGTCGAGTTTACTTGTAAATTCAATATTTCGACAAAGACACATTCGTTTCTGTTGAAACTTTTAGGATATTCTAATGACAATTAGGTCTATGTACGGGCACAGTTTCAGGTTGAAATTCTTTACTTCACCGAGATATACTTCCAGTGTTAATGCGGAGTCCTAACTCGCGAGACAGTTGGGGCGGTTCTCTCATAAGTGACAACAAGTTTAACGCCTTATTAGACAATTAAGGACACATCAATATTTGGGGACCTTTTGTTTTTATTTGTACTTTAGACAAGTGATTCAACTACTAGTTGATATAGTGTATTTTTTGGCTTGTCAAGAAAATAATGTTAGTGATCCATTCGATGTACAGATATTGAAACCAAATCGAGAAAGACAAAAATTAATTCGAGAACAAAACATTCTAAAACAGGTATTTATCTATTTTTCTGTATTTATGACATTTATTTCGCTCTTTTTCTTGTTTCAGTTATTTCGCATATTAAAAGTATTAAAACCTCGCTTAGAATTTGAACGTAGTCAAAAGTCTGATAATAAAACCGATGGTTTACCGTCAACTATATCTCAACAACAACTACAAACTAAAGATGATCAACAAATATTTTTACAGCAAGATGCTGATGTTAGACATTCTTCAGTATTTTATCAAATGAAAACAATATGTAGATTATGTTATAGAATATTGAAACATTGCCAACAAGAATATAGAAAAAATCAAGTAAAAAATGCTTTTCACATTATTGTAATCGATAATTTTACTCAAAGCAACAAAAACATTTTTCATTTCACAAAATTTATATATGGACATGATTAGCTGAAAATTTGGAAAAACTTTCGTCTGTGATACCTCTTCCAGGTGAATCGAGTTTTATTTTTCAAACATCAAAGTACGTTTTATCGGGCTATGTGAAATTGATCATGATGATATTTTATCAGCATGATCAATTCCATATAGCCCGATACAACGTACTTTGATGTTTGAAAAACTCGTTTCATTTATCACAGACAAAGGTTTTTCAAAATTTTGAAATTCTATTCCAACTTTTATGCTGATCTTGTTCATATATAAATTTTGTGAAATGAAAAATGATCTTTTCGCCTCTCCTCCTTTTCATATAAATTTTCTGCTCACGGATATATTTTGGTGTTCAGGAAACAATTGCCAAAGAATTTTCATTTATGCAATCACAAATTGGCTATGATATTTTGGCTGAAGATACGATAACAGCTTTATTGCATAATAATAAAAAATTATTAGAACAACATATTACCGAAAAAGAAATTGATACATTTGTTAAACTATTACGAGAAAAAAGAGATTGCAAGTAAGACTAGAGTGCAGAGCAGACAGTTGTGCTATGCACAAGTTGCGATGTCGACAGACTTTTTGCGAACTGCCTAAAAATCAGAGAAAGATATTTACCTATCTCTTACCTCTTAACCCTTTGGCTACCGATGTCCTATATATAGGACAGCGGTTTTTGCTTTACTTACAGGTGTCCTATTAAAATGATGTCTTCAAAATTTCAGATTTTGCGCTCGCGCTACTCTCTACAGTTAGTATTTTGTTTGCTACGTGTCACTATCAAAATCTGAAATTTTGAAGACATCATTCTAATAGGACACGTGTAAGCAAAGCAAAAATCGCCGTCACACTCGTAGTCAAAGAGTTAATTTACTTCTTTTCTCTCTCTGTCTCTCTCAAACGAATTTTCTTTTTAATGAAAACACAAAATTCCAAATAAAAAAAGAGAAATCCTTTTTATCAATACAAATGGCCCCCGCATTAAAATATTTGAAAAATTTCTAAGTCCAAAACGCAAATTTCTCTACATTTCTGACGGTTTATCAAAAGACGAAATGTCTCTAACAAAAAATAGCTATATTTTTCATTATGATAAAGGTGGTTTATATCTTATTATCTATTTTAAAAAATATTTAATTAGACGAATTTCATACAGAAAGGAGGAAAATACACGTATAGAAAGAAACTTTTGGAGAACATACTAAGCATTTTTACTTTTATTTGTTTAGAAAAATCTCACATCACTATATATTTATTTAGATTTCTTGAGTATTTATCTGATTTATGTGTATCGAGTAATCAAGCAATTGCTCGTACACAAGAAATGATTTGTAAATCGGTCTTGGAAAAAAATTCCGATATACTCATTCGAACAAAGTATGATTTAAATAGTTCATAGTAACTACGATGTAATAATAGTTTAATTTTTGATTTCTAGATTGGATTTGAACCCGTGTGTAGAAGATATGATTTTAGATGATAATAATTCATTACCGACAGGTCTTTCATCACAAAATATAATACGAGAAGTTATATTGACATGGGATGGAAAATCTGAATCAATTGAATTTATGGCCGGTGTTGTTCGAGATCAATTAGCACACCCAAGACGAGAAGAATTTCGAAATATTTTAGAATATTATAGGTATATGCAAACTTTTATTGATGTTCATATTTCTTTACCATCCATATAGTTTACTTTAAACAATATATTGTATATGGTCATAAAATCGAATATATTCATCATTTCAGATTTCAATTGACTTTATATTCTCATATGTGTTTTGATCGTCAATATTTGGCCATTGATAATCTTTCACCAGAATTATCCATCGATCTTATATTAACGTATGCAGATTCAGATTTTTCCATTTGTATTCTATCTATATCCTTCCATTTTCTCGTAGATGTACAAAAAGCGAAAATTTGCCAGGCACATTACGTGCATCATTTTGTCGTTTGATGATTCATATGCACGTTAACAGAGATCCACAAGAAGAAGTAACACGAATTAAATATGCTAGATTATGGAATCAAGTTAAAACAGAAGTATCATTAAATGAGTAAGAATAAAAATATATATTTTATTACTGTACGCATCATAATCATAAGTGTACTTTCATCTATTGTTATTTAGTTTAAATATGAGGTAAGCTTCGCAGAAAGTCGGATATCCACGTCCGCAACGAACCGCTATAACTTTTTTAATATAATGGTGTAGAGGAACTAATGCCAATCAAGAAAAAATATCTGCATTTCATTTTATACTAACCTTTTTATTTTCATAAGACTTTAATTTTATAAAAGACATTTCACTACTGTGATTACTCGATTGATATTCTGAAGATCAAATGTGATGATACAAAGATATTTGAAAGGCAAATATTTTTATGAATTTTAGTAAAAATCTCTGATCCGTAAGGTGAATAAGCCAAAACTTGATTAGAAATCCTAGATAGTGTTTATTACAACATTATTCAACTGTGACATCTATCCTCATCTCAGTTTGTAATTTATTGGATTTATTCATGATATGCGAGCATCTCAGCAACTATTTAACTTGAACATCTGCAGTTTTTCCTAAATCCACTAAAATATATAAACTTAAGTTCATCCGATAAATATTTAATCTACACTGTTAATTCGATTTATTTTCTAGTTTATAAAAAATCGACTTTAAAAATCGTAAATAATTTTAGAGTATTTATAAAATCGTAAATAATTTTATAAGAATATTGAAAATGTTTATTTTCTACTTTGTTAAAAATTGAGTCAATTTTCAAGAATTTTGATTTTCAAAATAGTTCGAAAAATTGTCTTGATTCTTCAAGTAATAGAAAACGTTTCCTGATTTTCTCTAAAATTGAAGAATCAACTGATTTTTTTTGAAAACAGCATTTAATTTTCTCTAAAATAAATTTAATTTCTGGAAAATTGATTTTATTTTCTATGAGTTTGAAAGGAACTTGCTGGCATTTCAAACGAGAAGATGTAAAGCGGATAAGTACTATAATAGACACAGGAGTTTTTTGGTTATTTCAGTCAATCTCTAATTGATGAGACATCTAATAAATTCCTCTGATTAATGTCCTAATTACTTACTCTGATGAGTGTTACCCTACATCAATACATCGTTAGCGTTTATTTCACATTTACATCGATGATCGTTTTTACGATATTATGCAATATTATCTGTTTTTTATCTTTCGTTTAGAAAAAAGTTACCATTTTTTTTTCTAAACGAAAGAAACATGTAGTAAAAGAATTTTAAGAAATGCTCCTGCTGTATGTGTTTTGTTCTAGCAGAAAATTGAAGAGACAAAACTAATTAGTTCTTATTTTATTTACCTGTGTTGAAGTGTCGTTTCACCATCCTCAATAAATCTTTTTTGGTCCAAGTAAAGAAAAACATGAAAAAAAAAATTAAACGGGAAGGACGTTGAATAATTGTAAAATATCGTGCTAGATTTTCAATTTCGTTAAAAATATATTCCACTTTTGATTTTCAATTTGTTCACATATGAATTTGCCAGGGATTTTCAAGTTTAAAAAGCGTCGTTGATTTTACGCAAAATCGATTTATTTTCTAGAGTATAGAGACAATTTTCCAAAAAAGTTAAATTGATTTTCAGAAAATCCGGATACGTTTTATGAAAAAAAATAAAATTCTTGAAAATCACATTTTCAAGAAAGTAGAAAATCGCTATTGAACTCCTATATGGACAAACTGAAAATCGTTGTTTATTTTCTAACTTATTTTCATGTTTACAGTGTACAGAATATGGACAGATGATGAAACCTTCCTAGATGGTTCATCCCAATTTTGAAAAAACATAGATTTTTAGGGACTATGTTTGATGTTGATCACAAATCTGATATTCGTTTTTGCCCATAAGACTTCCTAGTACCATCTTAAAGAAAGTGTATCTCTAGAGACCGGGTCTACACTTCCAGACGAAGAGATTCGGATTTGACTAGTTTATAGAGAGAGCCGAGTTATCTATGTGGATAAGTTCTGGTAACTTACGAATACGTTTTTTCACTATTTTTATACGGAAGAAACACTTCGGTCAGTCTTATTTCAGCTGTATGAAAAAACTGGAATATGCCTTATCCGGTGAAAACTTGTTCGTAGGTTATCAGAAAATCATTCTGAAAGGATAACAACGTATCCATTTTTTCCCTTTTTGCAATTTATTGAGCTAATAATGGCCAGTACTATCGACATGCGATAGTCCTCTGCTATCTCCATCGTAAATCGTATTAAACAATCTTGAGTTTTTCTTCTACTATGATTTTAGTTATGATCAATGTCATTCGTTGGATCCCGTGGAAAGAAATGAAAATCGTCCAAAATTTGAAACAACAATGAAATTTGTTGAAGATTATTTAAAAACTGTTGTTGAACAACCAAATTCATTTGGTGATAGAGAACAGAATAAACTAACACATGAAGTATGTTCTCTTCTTTATAGCATATTTCAATAAATAATTTACGCTTGATCACTTTAGGTTGTCAATCTGGCTCGTCGTTTAATATTTTTTGGCTTCTACAGTTTTGAAGATTTATTAAAGTTAACGCGCACACTCTTGGGACTATTGGATACATCAAAAGTTTTAACTGAATCGGCAAATAATACCCATCATGAACCAAGTAAGTATTTATAATATTGCGTTGCAAATACGTTTTGTAGTCATCGCTTAAGAACAGAAGACCATATTCACTGAGTGCTGAAAACATCTCACCATGATAACTCGCACTCATAATACGTGCGTCTGTTGATTTAACGATGCCCTCTTCAAACATTCGTTGAACAAAATTCTGAGTATAACAACAGGCGATTGCATGTGCGAATAAGTTGACAAAACTTAGATTATATAGATTAGTTAAATGATCATCACAATTTGTGCACAAATAAATATCGAGCCAAAATATCGCTGAATGAAATCATATGAGCATATGTATCGATACATATTCAGTATAAATCTGTGCAATAGTAATTAGTCTTTGTACATAACGAATCGTGTCATGCGAGTAGATCCATTGAAGATGTGTATAATTCTTTTATAATATAGTGCATTGAATGGACATTTGTAATATGGACCACAAGGGAAAAGACTACTTATGGATGTGTTCCCACTTATAAGTGAAATAAGTTAGTTACTTTCTCACTTTTTAAGTCACTTTTTTTATTGGCGTTCTCACTTACACGTCACTCCCTCCCCCCTGAATTACTATAGTCCATTTTATTTACGCGATTTCTATTTCATAACAAAAAACTTAAATTTTAACTTCAATAGAATAACTAAAATCGTATGCTTCTGCTTTAAGAGCCCATGCAAATTCCATCTACTATCGTCGTTCTATCTACTACATGACTTCCTGAAAATGGTTTAGTTTCTCTTTCTGACGTGTAGTAACCTCAACATTGACTGAAACATACGTTTTCAACCACGTTGAGTCTCGTGGCAATGTTTGTTTTATCAATAAAGACGAAAAATGAACTAAAAATCTAGGTTTACGAAAAAGAACGATTTCTCGCCGTTTTTGTCAAAAATGAAGAGGTTATATCTCACTCATGCTTTTTTGCATGTGAAACGCAATTTCAAATTCCAGATTGAGAAGAAACTAGTATTTTTAAGGTTGAGTTTTCTGGTAAAAATTTAGTGAAAAAACCGTGTAGATTTTGAAAGTCTACGAATCTCTAAGTCAACTGCTGATGTGAAACCGACTATAGCCTTTATTTTTCGAAACATTTGGATCAACTTTGAGAGAGATATAAACTTTTTAGTTCGAATCCGTAGTGACGGTCGCACCTTGCTTTTTTCTCTGATCGATGTTCTTCAGCCTTGTCTTTGAAAAGAATAGTAATTCAATTGAATGAATTTTTTTACCGATCATGGTACGTTTCGAAATTTCCCCATTTCGACTAACTTTCCCATTTAAATTACCCCAAATTTTCCCTAAAGAGCAAGAGTCGACCGGATGTGTATCATTGTTCATTGAAATATCGAAATTAAACACATTTAAACATTTGTGAGCATTAATTTGTCTTTTTTTAAAATGATGTTGTTACTTTCAACTGCAAGAAAGACAATAATAATGAATAATTTCTATATAAAATATCACATGAATGATCATCTTTTTTGCTTTTAATAAATTTTTCTGCTTTATGAATGAACATGATGAAAATCGAGAAATGCTGCGAAAAATGTTCAAGTAATCGTTATAAATATTTAGAAACTTTTCCGTTAAAAGCTGGTGGTCCAAATGCGAATACAAAATATGAGCATGTGCTAACAGCCACAGCTGCTCTAATTTCAAGTGTATTTGTTGATCCGGCAGCCGACAAACAAACAGAAATACTCGATGATTTAGCATACGAAACAAAAATGAATGTCATCGCTATATTAGAGGTTAGATATTTTTATTAACTGAATGAGGTTTTAATTCATTAAATAAATCTCATTCTATTATAGTTCATTCTCGATATTCGTCTCGATTTTCGTATATCTCGTTTAATCTCGATATTTAAACAAAAATACGGTCGAGCAGGTAAGTGAACTTGTTTGTATTTGTACGAGTATAACTTACTCCTTTGAACTAACATGTACTTTAGATCCTCTTGTCATTACGGGAATGGACTTGAATTCGGCTGATGTTGAATGTATATTCGATTGTGAATCACCCAATTTAGATTTAGATGATGATAAAGGAAAAACATTTTTAAAGGTTTTATTAAACTTAGTTATGCATGACTATCAGCCATTAGTAAGTCGTGCACTTTCACTTCTATTTCGACATTTTAATCAACGAAAAGAAACATTACAACATTTAAATCAAGTACAACTATTAGTGTCGGAAACAGATATTAAAAATTATAAGCAAATTAAACAAGATTTAGATCAATTAAGATTGTTTGTAGAAAAATCAGAACTATGGGTATATAAAAAAAGCAAAGAAAGTGGAGGACAAGGTGATCAAGATGAGAAAAAAGAAGAAGAATTTGATATCAAAGTTAGTATATATATATATATTGTTAATATAATAATAGATGCTTTATTAGTTACTGGCAAGGGAACCTTTCGAGATGTCCCCTTCCGATTCCAATGATTTGTACGTGGATCGATAGACCTCAGTGAGGTAGTAAATACCATAATAGGATTCGTGCCCATGACTCTTGAAGACCCGTTTTTCAAGAACTCTAAAACGTAAGCAAAACCTTTCTTAATGAGGCATTATTGTAGTCCACAAATTTCTGATTAAAATGAGATTGATTAAGATGAGAACTCCCAGCCCTACACGATCTTTCTTTGCAAAGTTATAGAATTTACAGGCAAAGCCTTAAATTATTTTCTTCTTATTTCTGTAGCTTTGAGCTGACAATGAACATGTAGAGCTTTTCTTATAAATTCTATAACTTTGCAAAGAAAGATCGTGTAGAGCCGGTAGATGTCTCATTTTAATCAGAAATTTGCGCGCTACAATTGCGCCTCATTAAAAGAAGGTTTTGGTTATTTTTAAGAGTTCTTGAAAAACTAGTTTTCCAGAAAACCGGGTCTTCAAGAGCCATGGGCAAGAATCCCTTTAGAATACTTACTACCTGATTTGCACCGAGAAACAAACTATGGTTGTTAAAAGTGACTGTAGCTCTGAAGCTCACGAGAGGCATTATAAATGCGTGAGTGCGTATAGATATTTTTTTTCTGAACGCCGGTGGCTCTACACATGTCATCTATAACGAACCGTTAACGATTATTTTAAAAATGATACGAAGATTTGTATCAGTCTTAAAATTTGAGATAATATACTTCATCCGGAAGATTCTAGTTCATGGAAGATTTTTAAATCAATTTGATCTGAAGTAGTTTCGAACGTGTGTGTCTATATAGAGCTCTGCTGTATACTAACGTTCCTACATCATACTCTTTTTCTCTTTAGAAATTAGGATTTTCGACTGGTTTTAGCGAACCAGACTTAGAAAATGGTCCACAAATTACTGACGAATCAGCATATCGTTATATATCAATATTTCAGGTAACCATCTAAAAAATAAAAATAAAAAGAAATTATTAGTTGAGTTATTTTGGATATGATTAGTTGTCCCATTCTTTTTCCAGGGCATACATACCTTCATTGATACGGTAATATACGTTGATGGTGGTTTCTTTTTGCCTGTTTGCATTTCGTTTACTCTTTCTCTTATACCGGACAAGAAAAGCTCTTACTTTATGATGAGATAACATGTTTGCACATTTAGTCTTGACTTTATTAATAATCTTTCTCTATTTACTTGGGACTCTATCATCATAATATAATTTTGATTAATATTTAATCTATTACTATACGTGATTCAACTAATATAATTACCATTATAACTTGATGCTTTAAAAAAAAAGACAAGAGGGCTTATCTTAATGGAACTAATAGGCTTTGTGCTATCAATTCGATAAAAAACTAGTTTTACTAGATAACATTTGGGAATTAAAACTGTTTCTTCGTTTGACTTCTTTTTTTTAACCGCTACATATTACAATTCAATTCAATTCTAATATTGACTCAGAATTAGAATAAATTCTTTAATAAGAAACTAACACTTATACTTTTTTTTTCACTTAAACTGATATTGGTTTGATTATGCATGATATTTATTTAATAGCACGCAGAAAAAGACAGAGAAAACTATACGCATGTGATGGACAAATCTCATTATGGATTTGTTTGTCACTGGTAAAATATATTGTATACAAGAATATATCACATTATATACGATGAATTTGAACTGTTTGGGTCAATTATGTATATCTAAACTACCAATGAACTCAATTTAGAGATATTAGCAAAAATTATGTTTAACTTGATAGAAACAGCTAACAAAAACATTCAGTTTCTCCAAATATTGCTTTTGCTGCCAAACATAGAGTATACGAAAAATGAGATGAATGTTATGCATGTTGAAACAAGCAGCATGTGAAATCAAAGAAAATAATTGAATATGCACGAAGCACTAATGGTCTTAGTACATTTTAGAGTTTTATTATTATTAATTATTATTAATTTTTACTTTTTCAATATATTTTGTTTAGATACTTCGTCGTATGATGAAATTATGTGTTCACGAAACATTGGATAATTTATACGCTAGAGAAAATGAACAACGATTATTACGAAATATGGATGTACACGTTGTTGTATTAGATCTATTAAAAATTCCCTATGATAAAGTAAGATTTTAACATTGTCAGATAGAAATATACGCACATCAAATTCGCTGAAGTAGAAATTAACGTTTAGATAATTTGTTTGTCTTTTAACAATAATATTTATATTCTATTTATAGGCTGAAGATACTCGTATGAATCGTATAATGATGTTAGCTCAAAATCTTTTACAATATTTTTGTTATGAAAATCCAACAAATCAAGCTAAATTATATGAATTGTATTTTCATGATTATCAACAAATATCTGAAGTACGAGGAGTGCTCTGTAGATCATGTATAAAAGGATCTATATGTTCGTTGTTGTTGTTTTTTTGTAGGAACAAGAAGTTGAAACATGTTGTTTTATATTTATGAATAATGTTCAATTATGTAAAACCATTACAGAAAAACATGTTCAACATTTTGTACATCTAATTGAATTACATGGAAAAAAAGTGTTGTACATCAAATTTTTACAAACAATTGTTAAAGCAGAAAATCAATATATTAAAAACTGCCAAGATATTGTTATGTCAGAAGTAAATATAGCTCTATATGGTTAAGACTCTTTTCGTTAAGTCCTCCCCCTTCTTCCGTGAGAAATATAGATTTTTTCATAAAAAGTTGATATTCAGTTAACCATATAGTTGAATAGTCCAAGATATCTACTCTTAGAAGCCATACTACTATCTCAGAGCTCTGAAGAAGTTTTATAAATAGCCTAAAAATAACTAACTGATTTATCAACAATTCTGACATCTTAGTAAAATGCCAAAATCCAAATGAATTTCAATGATGCTACTTTGTAGAGCAAACATTTCTAGTTAAATTTGACTTCTCTCAACTTTGAAGGATGTTTTTATCAAAATTGATGACAGTTGTATTAAGAGCTCTAAAATATGTATCATACACAAGCAGTACCATATTTCAAAATAGAGCTGTTCATATTTTCTTAAAATTTCCGTCCAGACATGATGGCGAACTTCGGTTAGTTTTAAAATGAGGCAAACACATGTCACTAGAGGCTTAGAAAATCCAATTGTTTCTATAGTTTCCCGTAAAGAGAAGAATTTTCGAAAACCCTTTAGAAGGTTTTCGGGATTTTCAGTTTCCGTTAATATTCAACCGAAAATCAGTAATGCAAATATTTAAAAATCGGGTGTTGTCAACCTTTTTGTATTAGCTTCATTTTAAAATTGACTGAAGCTCTCGATCATCTACCTGAATGTAAAATTTTCCGGAAATAGAAATAGCACTATTTTGACTACTGCTGTGGGTACATCTCGCGAACGGATAACGATTGATTAAAAAAAAAATGATTGGTCACCATATGTAGACACAATCATCATTTCCTAAAATTTTTGTCCAACGTTGTGATTACTGAGATAGATGTCTACTAAATAATCAATTTTTTTTAATATTTTTATCTTTCTTTTAGTTGGTTAGCTCGGATGAAGTGTTCATGTTTTATGATAAATCAAATTTAGTTGATTTAGTTGAACGTATGAAATCGGAGAAAGAACGACAAGATCCAAATTCATTGTTAAACTATCATGTTCAATTAGTATTGTTATTGGCCATGTGTACCGAGGGTAAAAATGCATCAACAGAAATTAAATGTCATTCATTGATTGCTCTCGATGATATTGTTTTAATTGTTACACATCCCGATTGTATACCGGAAGTTAAAAATGCCTATATTACGTTTTTAAATCATTGTTATATCGATACTGAAGTAGAAATGAAAGAAATTTATAATAGTCAACATATTTATACACTCATTGAAAAAGCATTCACTTCAGATATTGATAAAGTAAGTAAATTTAAAATTATTTTGAGTTTATATTATTAATATTTGAAAATTTTAGTTAATTAACAGAGCAAATGAACGTCGTAGTTTAGAAAAATATTTATTAGAAACTGTTTGTGATTTAATAATACAATTTTTTAATTCACCATTTTTTGAACAATCAGCTGCACCACAAGTGAGTAGTAGAAATCAATAAATATTGACAATTTTCTTTATACTATGAGCTATTTTACTTAACATTGTTTCTTTCTTTCTTTTATTCTTTTTGCTATGTATCTATACTTTTATAGGTACATTTTATGCTTGAGAATCATCGATATGATGAAATAGTTCCATCTATTATCGCTTTTTGGAGGTACTAAATAGAAAATCAACTAATACAGCTTAACATTGATGTTGCATGATAAAATGTCATCACTATTTTTTGTTTGTCGGATGTATTTCAATTGAAAATCCATTTTCTAACAATACTAATTTGTCTGCATTAACAAGCCGTATAGTGGCTAAAATTTTACGTATTTAGCCATATATTGTGAAATTTTAAATTTTAATATCAACTTTTGTTTCATTGTTCAAAACTCACCGTATCAATCATTTTGCTGCATGTGATTTTTTATCTATTAGAGGAATGCCTTTTTACTAGGCCGTTACTCTGCCGCCTTCTATAAATGTATAGTTTTTTCCTTTTCTTTCTAAATTTTCATGCTCTAGCTGATAGACAGCGACGAATTGAACATTTGAAGATAACAATAACAATTATAATTCTTCCGTGTGTGATTATAGTTTTTTAAATGATCCACTTGAGGGTGATTGCTGATTTAATTATCCTCATCTATCAAGTCTGCCAACTTTAATAAGTTTAAAGTGTTCAGAGTCGTCGCAAGATTCAAAAAACAGAAAAATTGTTTTATTCTGTATACAATACAAAAAAAATTATTTTCCATAGTTGATAAAAATTGAAAATTTTCAAAAGTAGAAGAAGCATAAGCTCTTTTACAGTCTCCCAGCCGTGATGGATTCGAAAGTACCAGAGAATATCAGAAAATCTTTGATTAGAGCATGTATATACTAGGTATTCTTTCTCATCGGACCTCTCTTAAACATCTGCATATGTACATTTTTTCTTGTGAAAAGAAGAATGCTATGTTGTTTGTTTTTTTTGTGTTTGTTCTATTAAAAAGAAAAAATATTCAGTAACAAGAACAGTGTAGTATAGTTGTTGCACACAAATTTTTTCATTTGGAAAAAAATAATATTACGATTGTTTTATATTGTTACTGAATATTTTTAAATCAGTTATTGTTTAATCAAGTTTTGAGTGTATTGTTGTTCTTGTTGAGAATCGTAACAGTGCACTATTATCATTACATGGCCATCTCGTTCGAGCATTAAATATTACATGGTTAACAACGACACAACGTGACAGAATCGATCGATGTATACATATTTTATCAAATATAGGTATACAGACAGTCAGACAATAGAACTAATTTATAAGAGTATAAGTCTCTTTCTTTACAGCTGATCGTCGTGGTTTAAATCAACACTTACGTTCTCAACATCAAGCAGTAGAATTATCTCGTCAACGTCGTACATCTCGTACAAGTTCGCATAATATTGACCATACGCGTGGAAATTCAACTTCCAGTTCAATATCTGGTCAAGGATCAAATTATGAACATTCACAAGATAAAGAACATAAACGAGTTATCGATAACTTTGTGGTATGATATCTAAGAGTTGAACTAATCGAATTTTATGTTAGAAAAGTTATTATATTTTAGGAGTATCTTAGTCAAGTTAGTATTCGTTTAAGTCCATTGATTCAAGCTGAAATTAGTGTATTAGTGGATGTGATACGAGCACCACAATCATTATTCAATGACACACATAAATGTCGATTTATATTTCAAAATGGAGCATTTGTTCACAAGTATGTAGAATTTTTTTTCTTCATTATCACAGATAGACAATAAGATAAAGTCAAGTCAAAGAGGATATTCATTCTAGCCTAATCAGACATACGATGCTTATATTAATTGCAAAATATGATCAACAATTAAGTTCTAACGTGTTAAGTTTACTTATTATGTATGTGGGACTTAAACATGCTCCCAAGGAGGAGGTAAAATATACATATAGAATGAGAAGAGCATTAATAAATATCACATAGTTGCTTGTCTCATTATTTACATTATTATTTTTGTACACATGACTCTAAAGGCATAAACTGTGTTTAGAAAATGCTTTAGTAGAATATTTTGGGATAAAAGACACACTCTAATGAAATTTCAAAAAGTGTCTCATTTTCTCCTAAAGTACTCTGAATTTTATCATTAGATGGTGATGAGAAAATAAATATTTGCAGTTTAACTAGTTCAAATCGTTATGTAGTTTATTAGAGTTTTTGTTTTTTAAATTTAAATACAATCAAATGAAATAGTAATATCATTCGGTCCCATTTTTTTCAAATTCTCAACAGATTCATTTTTCAGCTCATATGTTGTTGTTTTCATCTCTGGTGAAAGTGTTTTAATCGTAGTTAATAAAATTAATTCGATAAAACTCTGCTCTTTGGTTGTCGAACGCATGTTGTGTATCGAACAGAAAATATTGATAACATTTATAGTCACATATTAGACTTGCACATACACATACACATACACACACACATTCGTAATAGATGGCTTGTTATATTATTTCATTATATACTTTTTATTTGTTGCTTTTTAATTATTTAGATTGGTACAGCATGCAAAATATTTGCTTAATCAAACAAATGAAATTTTATGTTTGAGAATAATGCATGCATTAAAAACAATGGTCCATGCAAAAATTGAATTTGAAAATAGGGTATGATACTTGCGCAAAAAAAATGTCAAATAAGATCTACCTATTCATATCATTTGTGGTGAATTTTGCTTGATAGCTTTTCAGATGTATTTCTCTTATTTTTCTATTGCATATCACCAGAACAAAAAAAATAAAGTTGATTTTAAGCTACTGAAAAGTGCTTTTCCGTATTCAGCACACTCGATAATTCAGGAGGTTTTCCATTTTTGGGTAAGAGGTACTTCCAAAAGTTTAAGAATAATTTTCAAACTAATATTATTTTTCCATAAGAAGTTTTTGGCACCATTTTGTTTTTAAAATTTTTCGTTTTGGAAGCATCTGTCGTAAAAAATAAACAATTTTTTGGGTTATCGAGTATGCTGAATACGAAAAAAAAACACTTTTCAACAACTCAAAACCAACTCTATTTTTCTTTCGTTCCGGTGATATGCCGTTATGGCACACGCATAAAACTCAAACAAAAAACTAGTAGAACAGTTAGCCATAATTATCAATTTAGGGTCAAAGTTTAAGATCAAAATTATTACGGCGTTATTTCTCCGATGATAAACAATATTTAAAATCACTTCATCAGCCATCAAAAGGTAAGATTAAAATGTGTTTATTACACGAATGCATTAAAACTTAGACCGATAACTGAGTACTGCTGATTTAGATCTGTTTGTCTTACACAAAAATTAAAATCGACACCTTCTCATTATGGGCACTTTGTAGAGCTTGTCGAGTTATATATAAATCGATATTTCTTTTGGAAAAATATGCGGAATCTGGATAAGTTACGTTACATTAATGTTTTCTTTCATATCACGAGATCCAAGAACGTACAGTAAATAATCTTTTTTCGAATGAGATGTGTTCCGGCTTTCTGAAACTTGTAACACTAGTAACACTAGATGAGATGTCGTTGTAAAATGATTTTGAAACAATTCTGATGAGGAATTTTGAAGAGCTCATTTTCCGCAACCCTTAGAGCATTGTAGAACCTGTAACTCAAAAACTAAATTAGGTACAGACCTCATTCTTACCCAGTCAAGCATTCATATTGACTCCCTCACCCTCACAAGTCTATGCTCTACCGTTTCTTGACTGTTTGGTAATCAATTCAAAAGAATGGTGGGTTTCTATTGATTTCGCTAGATTTTTCAAACGGTCCCATAAGGCTAACTTTTCACTTAAAACGATTAAAATTATAATTTATATACACCTTTCCGAGCTCTGTCAATGATTTTTTGAGAAAAAATTTAAAATGTTTGTTGAAATGAAAATGGGTCTCGTGATCTGAAAAAAAACATTATTGCAACGTAATCCACCCAGATTCCACATATTTTTTCCAAAACAAATATCGATTTATATATAACTCCCCGACCTCTACAAAATGTCCATAATAGGAAGGCGTTGGTTTAACTTTTGTTTTTTAAGGCGAGCAGACCTTAGTGAAAGTACTCAGCTAAGGCTATTCAAAATTTCCATAGATGAAGGAAGAATGTCTATGCTTCGGTATTGGTCCAACAATTTTTTTGATAGTTTATCTTTAACTGTTTTTAATTTGCTCTGTTTTGGTGCTAGTGAGCGCCATCTATTGGAGTATTGCACAACTTCAATTTGGATTCAGTATAAATTAAGGTAGTTGAATTTGATTACAATGAGTTTGTGGCATAGTCTCGTTAACGCACAATCTATCTCAATGATTGATCGTTTCCATCTGAACTATGCAAAATAAAAGAGTGACAATTAACCACTGACCGGGTAGGTTAATAATCCTATCATGTCGATCAACAATTGCCAACAAAAATGTAATCGGTTTGCATTTCTATGTGATCTGATGCATTTATAAGATAATTGATTTCGGAGGAATTCGATCATATCAATTCTAAGTTATTTTATAAAAAATTTGTTAAAAAAAAAAAAGAACGCTTCCAAACAGGTTCGTACCTGTCACATTATTGCTGAACGCTATTAACTATCGCGATTTTTGTGAAACTTCTCCCTAATGTTAAAACAAATAAAAATGAGAGTTGAACGTTGTAACTGTCATCTCTCTAAAAGAAGAAAAAAAGATATCACATTCTGATAGTCCTGACTTAAAATTGACTTGGGATTATATGTTCGTATTAAGACCCATGGCACCTAAGCGATTTGTGGGTATCCCTGAAATGGCTTCGGGGACTCGGTTGGGAGGGCCGAGTTCTAGAGGCTTGTTCTAATCAGTGTATTTCTGCTACAGTATATTAAAATTTCATAAAAACCAGTTCGATATGCAACTTTTCGGAAGCGATTCAATGGTAATACAACAACAAGTTGATTCTACTATTAATACGGTCCTATGTGCGAGTTCCACCAAGGGAACCTCTAATAAGTTTCCTTCTAATGGATTTTCATATGCCGATCAGTGGTTTTGAATAACTCAAGAACGAAAGACGATAGAAACTTTCAATTTTTGCGATTCGATAACCAATACTTTAAACTATCTGTTTATAATTGAACCAAAGTTTAAAGCGTTTCTCAATGACCGGTTTTCTAGGAGATCTCTGGAAAACTGTTTCGTAACTGTAAACGACAAGGTAGCAATATATTGTTTTTTTCCATAAGTAGATAGCCTAAAAAAGTGTCCTCTTCAAAGTAGGAGCCGCGTGAGACTTTGATTTTGAATGATTCGGACGTGGTATGTGATTTCCATGAGCCACAGAACTGGCATTCAGTGGTTTCAAGCAACCTTGAAAGAGGAAGATACATACATAGTCGGCCATGCTAAATCTGACGGCAATGTTTATTTTGAAACAAAAAGTAAAAAGCCTAATGAAAACTTTGCTGTATGAAAATTGGAATTTTCAGGCCATTTCTGCCTAACATTAAGAAGTTCAGACTTCACTCAAAAAGCATCAGAGCGAGTGAGTGGTCGAATCATTCAAAATCAAAGTCTCACGCGGCTCCTTCTTTGAAGAGGACACTTTTTTAGGCTATCTACTTATGGAAAAAAACAATATATTGCTACCTTGTCGTTTACAGTTACGAA